AACAGAGAAACTTCTCACTCTGGGCTCTCATTACTGTCCCTCCCACCCTTTAAAAAATATATATTTTTATTGATTTCAGAGAGGAAGGGAGAGGGAGATAGAAACATCAATGATGAGAGAATCACTGATTGGCTGCCTCCTGCACACCCCCGCTGGGGATGGAGCCCACAACCTGGGCATGTGCCCTGATTGGGAATCGAACCATGACCTCCTGATTCATAGGTTGAGGATCAACCACAGCCACGGTGACAGGGCCCTCCCATCCTTTTTAAGCAAAGCATATGTGGGGTTCCTGCTCATGTCCCACTCGTGTGGGCCATGGCTTCTCACCCTGACTTCTTGCCTTGGTGTCTGAACCTACAGCATCGCCCTAAGCAACTGGTGGTTTGTGGCCCATCTGACCGATTTGCTGGATCACTGCAAACTCCTCCAGTCCCACAACCTCTAGTAAGTGTGCATGACACGCCCACCCTTTTCCCCCACCTCCCAGGCTCTCGAGGGGTGAGCTGAATGCCTAGAAGGAATGTTGGGCTGCGGAAGGGGGCCCTGAATGGAGCAGACCAGGAGTCTTGGTCTCATCATATGTTTTATTCCAGCTTTGGATCCAACATGAGAGAGTTCCTCCTGCTAGAATATGCCTCGGGGCTGTTTTCTCATCACAGGTAGGAAGGCCCCAAGGGATGACAGCAGGGTGCTCTTCAGCATGTGGGTGCATTGGAACTTGGACTGTTCCCTGAAGGCTATCGTGGTCTAGAGATGAGCCATCTTGGGGGCCAATCCCAGACTCCACAGCAGCACCTAGACAGGCCCTCATGTCTGTCCTCCTTGGACCTTTGCAGCCTGTGGCAGCTGGGGGTGGATTACTTTGACTACTGCCCTGAGCTGGGCCGAGTTTCCTTGGAGCTGCACATTGAGCGCATCCCTCTGAGCACTGAGCAGAAAGCCCTCAAGGTGCTGCGGATTTGTGAGCAGCGGCAGATGACTGAGCAAGGTGAGTCGGCCTCCGCTCGGCATGGGCCTCTGTTCATACCATGCCAGCCAGACTGCTGGGAGATCAGGAAGTGGCTGCCAAAAAAGGAAACCGAACACAGGAACATGACTGGGGAGGGACAACCAGCTAGGGATTCTTTGGGACCTAGAAGCAATCAAGCACGTTGCCTTTTTATTTTACTTCTTTTTAAAAAAATATATATTTTATTGATTTTTTACAGAGAGGAAGGGAGAAAGTAGAGAGTTAGAAACATCGATGGGAGAGAAACATTGATCAGCTGCCTCCTGCACACCCCCCACTGGGGATGTGCCTGCAACCAAGGTACATGCCCTTGACCGGAATCGAACCTGGGACCCCTCAGTCCGCAGGCCAACGCTCTATCCACCGAGCCAAACCAGTTAGGGCACTTATTTCTTTTTAAAAAATATTTTTATTGATTTCAGAGAGGAAGGGAGAGGGAGAGATAGAAACATCAGTGATGAGAGAGAATCATTGATGGGCTGCCTTTTGCATGCCCCCTACTGGGAATTGAGCCATGACCACCTGGTTCATAGGTTGACACTCAGCCAGTGAGGCACACTGTCCAGATGAGCATGTTGCCTTTTTAAAAATGTTATCCACCCACTTCCCTCATGCTTACTCCAAGAGGTCAGGGCTGGGTCAGCTTTGAGTTTGCCTGTCCCGAGTGAGTTGCTGTTGCCAGATAAGGCTGGCTCTGGGGAAGCAGGACCAGAGGTGGTTTGGAAAGAACAGGGAGGAAATGAAGTTTGCCCCTTCTCTTCTCATTGTTGCGTGATAAAAGCCTAAGTTATTCTTCCCAGAGGCACTTGTGTGTTCATGACTGAAAGCATGTGGCATTCAGGACCCAAGGGATGATGGGATTTTTGGCACCTGGAACCATAATGGAAGAGCTGATCTGGGGGGAGCAAGAAATACCTTATTGCCACCCCGTGAAATCAAATCAGCTCACAAAGCCGATCCTGTCAGGGTGGGTCATACTATTAACACCAGGAGGCAATTTATAACCCCAGTTCTGCCGACCAAGCTGCATTTGCGGCCTGTGGGGGAGGCTGGAAGGCTGAGGAGGTTAGAGGGCTGCTCCTTTCCCAGCAGGGTTTAGGAATGATTCGTAGGATGAAGGATTCACCTTTTCCCTTTTTGCCTGCAAAGTACGAAGCATTTGTAAGATCTTAGCTATGAAAGCTGTCCGCAACAATCGCCTGGGCTCCGCCCTCTCGTGGAGCATTCGAGCCAAAGATGCTGCCTTTGCCACGCTGGTGTCAGACAGGTGGGTTCAACCAGTGTCCACTTCCGGGAACTGTCTGGGGAAATGGGGAGGCTGAGGTGGGCCTGGGACTGCTTTTCTGATCTCCCGGTCTGGCCTTGCAGGTTCCTCAGGGATTACTGTGAGCGAGGCTGCTTTTCTGATTTAGATCTCATTGACAACCTGGGGCCGGCCATGATGCTCAGTGATCGACTGACATTCTTGGGTGAGTCTCTTGGGGCTCTGTCCCTTAGACAGTTGTCACAAATGGACGCTTGTGAAGGTTGGACCTTCTGTTTGAGATTTCTCCAGTGTTTCCTTTCTGTTAAGCCCAAACTCCAAACCACATAGAACCCTGTGTGCCAGACTTTGCAAAGTATATTTTTTGGTAATATTTTATTTTCCAGTAATGTCAAACTTAGAGAAGAGTTGTGAAAGTAGTGTAAGGAATGAGGAACTCTCACATACACTTTACTCAAATTCACTAGTTTAAGTGCCTCTAATTTTCTTGGTGCTTCTTAACCTTGACATTTGAAGAGTCAGTTCAGCTCTCTTGTAGAATGTCCTCAATTTGGGTTTATCTGATGTTTCCTCGTGATCAGATTTAGATGTATGTGTTCGGGGCAGAATGCTGCCAAGGTGATGTGTTGTGCTGTGTCCCCTTGTTGGATTTCACTCTGATCACTTAAAGTGGCGTCCACCAGCTGTTTCTTCATGCAGCACTGACTTTCCCTTTGATTTAATAATTTGGGGAGAGATACTTTGGAATTACTTAAATGTCTTGTTCCTCATTGAACTTTCCACCCTCTTTGATTTTCTGCCTCTCATTGTTCGTTTTAGTTGGCATCCCAGTGTATGGAAGGCTTTCCCTTCATCCCTGTTTTTGGTCTTTTATTACCTCAAGTAATGGACTCCTGGGTTATTTTGTTCAATCTGTTATAACCTGTAACTCTTGTTTATTTTAATGCTTACATTCTCCCAAGTTTGGCTGGTTTGAGTCTCTTCAAAGTATGTGGTCTCGTTGGTGCCTGAACTTGGATACAGCTTTGAAGAATGTCCCTGCTCTATGGAATGGCTGGTCTGGCATCTGCCTTCTCTTGTTTAGGGCCAGAGGTGACCTAGTGCTCTTTTTTCAATAGGAAAGTATCGTGAATTCCACCGATTATATGGGGACAAGCGTTTTGTTGATGCAGCTTCTCTTCTCCTGTCACTGATGACTTCTCAGATCGCCCCTCGGTCTTTCTGGATGACACTCCTAACAGATGCCCTACCCCTTTTGGAACAGAAACAGGTACAGGTTGAGCCCCAAATGCTTTTCTGCTCCGTTTTGTAGTCCTTGACAGTGCTTCCTCTGTCACTGGTACAGATGTGCAAACATACATCATCTCCTGGATAGGTCTCCCCAATAGCACCCACTCTGGAAGTCTAATGTCCACCCAAGAAAAACGACTTGATTTAAAATGAGGCCGTTGCCTGCTGACCATGCCCATCCCAGGGCTGGGAGTGAGAATAGAGGTGCTTTTCCCTCCCAGGGCTGCATATACAAAGAACCCCTCTCCAAGGGCATGCAAAGAAGACCATCTCTGAACTTGGGCCAAGGCCCAAATCAGCAGGCCTCAGCTAGAAGCAGCTTCTCTCTCCTAGGTGATTTTCTCAGCAGAGCAAACGTACGAGCTGCTGAGATGTCTGGAGGACTTGACCTCAGGACGACCGGTGCATGGAGAACCTGATGCCCAGCAACTCCAGGTCATTTTAGCTTCCTGGGTTGGTTTCACAATAGAGATGAAAAAAGGCTCCCTGTATCTCTGGCTCCCCCCACCTCCTTCCACAAACACTGGCCCCTTACAAACTCCCATGCCTCTTAAACTGTAACCATGACACACTAACTTCTTTTAGGAAAAAATGGGGTGATTCTAGTTCTGATCTGTTCTTTGCTGTCAGTCAGTTGTGGTGGTCCTGTGCATTCAGCTCTTACATGGAGACTTGCTGGAAGCTCTTGCTGAATGCCAAGTGACCTCTGTCTGCTTTTGGGTAGAGCCCATGGGAGCTTTAAAGGATCACTTCCTGCTGTGCCTCATGCTGGCTCTCTTTGCCCTTAGGATGATGACATAGAGACCACCAAGGTGGAAATGCTGAGACTTTCTCTCGCACGAAATCTGGCTCGGGCAATTATAAAAGAAGGCTCACTGGAAGGTTCCTGAGGCTGGCTGAGAGCTGTTCCCGCACGGTATCTTTGTGTGGCAATGTATATACATTTTTTAAAGAATAAATGTTTTCTTTTGCAAAAATAAGGCAAGTTCTTACAGAGTTCAGCCAGGGAGTTTTTATCTACATCCCCTGTGAACCTGATGCGTAAGCGTTAAGAAAATGCTCATTGTGTTCTTTTTGACATGGAAGTGACTTCCCTGTCTCCTAGAGAAAAAGGTACCCCCACAAGTTATGGTGAGTGCAGTGCCCTCCTGCCTATAATCAGAAACATGGACAGGCGCCTTCAGTGGTTTACTTGTGCTTCTGAAATATGGCCTCACCTGAGAATCATCCGAAACACTGATCTGTTAACTTCCTGGTTATCTCTTTTAAAAAAGAAAAAGGTCCAGGACCCTGTACTTTTTAACAAAAACCTAGGTGGAGAAAGAAAAGAAAAAAAAGAAAACAAAAACCTAGGTGATGTCTACCTTTGGAATTCATCAGTGGAGCCCCCCCTCCCAATGGGGTGAATGGTGTCTGTATTAGAAGAATTCCAAGTAGGGTGAAAATGGTTTTATTTAACATGCAGTAAAATAAGGGCAGCAGAGTTGATATATCCAGTATAGCTGTTTGCCATGAAACAGTCACACTCATAAATAATTTTAACGCCTAAACCTCATTGTAAAGGTACAGTTCCAGGGAGCAATCCCACAGACTTTTCCAGGGCTGCGGCAGCCAGCCTCTGGAAAACTCTTGGATTTATTCCGTAAGGAGTGAAATCAGTTCACGTTTGACCTATCTTGCCAGAGATGGGAGGGAAGGGGAAGGTGAGTAAGGAAGCCTGGCAAGGAACAGGGAGGAATCCAGGAACGTGGCTTGTGCCACCTTCCCCTGGAGATGGCTCTGAGCCCGTCCAGCTGAGTTCAGGTGAGCTGTGTCCTCTTTCCCCAGCTGGTGGTTCTCACTTTCCTGTTGCCCTGGGAGGCCTACAGGCTGGCACAAGCTAGCTGGGCTGAGCACTGTTCAAGCAATAAGGTCTGGTGACTCGATTCAAGCATGGCCCCCAATCTCACCATCTCCAGACCCAACATCTCGCTGACAGTACCCCTCTGCAGCTGAGGACAGTCAGTTTCTGGGCAGCAGGTAAGTCTAGTGCAATTGCCTGACCCTGAGGCCTCCTGTCTGACTTTTGTCCTGACAGGCCATCTGGGGGTAGAGGGAGGCCAAGGCAGGAGGACGTAGAGGGGGGCAGGAATTGTCCTCCCTTCAGGGGCTCGAAGGGCAAGACAGCAGTTTATTTCATGCCAAGCAAGAGGTAGTGAATAGGCTGGCCTGTTCCCATGTTGGGAGGCACACTTTTCGAAGAAAGCTCCGAGTACCTGCTTCGGAGAAGGGGAAACGTTCTCTTCTGTCTTCTCTCTCAGCCTTAGTTTAGGCTACTTTGGGGCCAAGTTCTGTTTCTAATAGGCTGAGTTCCACGTCCTGCTGAGATGTCCAAAGGACACAGCTTGCCATCGCCAGGGACAAGCACACCCTTATCCAGTGGCCATTCCAGACTGGCACTGCCCGTGGAAGGCAGCACACCCACTCCTTTCTCGTGCCCAGGCCCGTTTGGGAACACTGGACCTTGCCCACCTTCCTGCAGGTAGGAGCCTGCCAGCAAGGGGAGCACAGAGTAGCATGGTGAAGGTGGGGAGTGAGGACCTGGTCCTTGAGGAAGGGCCCCAAGTCTTTTTAGAGACCTCCTCCCTTGTGGCAGCGGGGTGCCAGCACGAGGGGAAAACCTACTCCAGCTGTAAGTCTGTGTTCCCAGGGCAACAGTGCAGAGTCCGGGGCCACATCCCGCCCAACAGTACATGGCCACTTCAAGTCACACAGGTAGATAAAAACAGGTCCTTTAAGGGGCCAAAGGAGAGACCATCACAGTTGAGCTCCTGGCAGCAATGCCCAGGGCCCCTGTTCCATACCAAAGCTCCAGCACTGTGGTCAGGACACGGAGAATGACGACCCGGAGAGCCCTCCTGTCTGCCTCGGGGCAACCTACTTGGGCTTCAAAGTGGAGACGACCGCATCCTTCAGGGTCATAGGTTCCCCCACTGCTCCACAGGAGGGAACTGGTCCACCTCACCCACTTCTGTGCTCAGCTGCTCCCCAAGGGCGAAGGTCAGCCTATATCGAAGCCTGGCCTTCTCCTGCGACAGAGGGGCAGTGTGTGAGACTATAACCTCGAGGTTTATTGTGCTGGGGGACAGGCCCTGATCCCACCACCCCATCCTCACTCTGCCACTGAACCAGGGGAGGAGAGGGACAGGGTTAAAGCTGCGGTACCACGACACTTCTGGTTGGGAGGTGGGCAGGGCTGAAGGTGGTGATGACAAGATCCTAATCTGGAGCTTCCAGCTCACCTTCAGTGGATTCGCCAGCAGCATGACCTGGGTGATGGCTGCAGGTGGCTGGATGGGGCTAAATGGAGAGAGTTCCGTCCCAGAGGGTGGCTGCAACTTCACCTTCATTGACTAAAGAAGAAGAGAAAGCTCCTTTTGAAGAGGCGGCAGGTGGAACCCAGTATGATCACATCGGACACACACTGCCGCCTGCTGGCCACTCAATGCAGTGGGGTCAAGATAAAGGTAATTTCTGCCTCTCGAGGCCCTGGGAAGTACCTTGGGCACTGCGGCCTGAAGCACGATGCTTCTTATAGGCAAAGGAGCCGTATTCAGCATGGACACAACCACTACCAGCACATCGGGCCGTCCTGGTGGACATTCCTTGGCGAAGTGGAAGAGGATGCGGAAGCCGTTTTTATCATAGGCTGTCACAGGAAGGGCACTGCCTGTAAGAAGGTGGCACGTGGGTGTGGAAGGAGCGAGCAGGTCAATAATCCCCAGCAGAACCCGGGGGGTGTCTGCTACAGCCAAGTGGGGAGAGCAGTGCTCCGTGAAGGAGTCTGGGAAAGGACCGCTGTCAGAACTTCACAAGACTGCGCAGTAGCCAGGACAATAAGGGAACAGGTCACGTTTGACTCTAAGGGACCTGAGCAAGGACAGCCTGTACCACCCCTCCCCACAATGCTGTAAGTTAGGGGCCCCACTTCTCCCATTCCACACCTCCAACACCTACTAGGCTTGATAGATTCCAGGGGGACATGGACACTGGCCAGGGAGAGCTCAGGCCCCTTCATGGGGCTCCCCTGGGATGGGAAGACAGGTGGCTGGAAGAGAGGGCTGCCAGGCCCCGTGGAGAACGGCAGGAGAGGCCTAGCTGAGGTGCTGCTGGGGAGCAGAGGGGAGGTGGTGGCCCCAGGGAAGAAGCTGGAGGAGATGGGTTTCACCAGGCCTGAGGTCCTGGGAGGCAGGAAGGAGAAGGCCAGTCAGAGACCAAGCAGAGCTGTTGGGCCAACTCTCGCAAAGCGCCTCCCACACCCCCAGGCCAGAGCTGGCTCCTATGTACCCCCTAGCTTTCAGATTCCAGTCTCAGATCAGACCAAAAGAACATCCCCAACCCCATTGGTTCTAAGCCCAACCCCCCTCTCCCACTCATTACGCTTTGGCTTCTTCTAAAAGCTGATCGAGGGCATCCAACTGGTGCAGGGAGCTGTCGCTCAAAGCTGAGCCATGGTACCCGGGGGCTGTGGGTTCAGCCTTTGGGGCCGAAGCTGGGGCCGGTCCAGTGGGGAACAAAAAGCCTGTTTTTGGAGCAGAAACGCTGGCTGGGACCACAGGAGCTGGGAAGGGGGGTGGCAGTGGAGGCTGGGAGTTGCCTGCAGGGGTTGCTGAGGGCTGGAGGACAGGCCCATCTGAGGGGCTACAAGCAGCAGTCCCAGGTTTGGGGCTGAAGAAGTCCAGGTCCGACTGTTCGTTCTATGGGGAATGGAAAGTACAAGTGAGCAGGGGTGCGGAGGGTTTTGGCTCTCCACTCCTGGCTCCTTTGCAATCCCACTGGACTAGCAGCCCTCCAAGGACAGGGCCCCAGGGGCTAAGGACTAGTTTGGAAAGATACTGACAAGTCAAGGTTGTCCAGTGTCTCAGTGATATCACCTGTACACCTACCTGGAACAGGGGCCACTGGCCGTTTCCAGCTGACTCTTTGGGAGGAGCCCTAGGGGCTGGGTCAGCAAGGCCTGAGAACAAAGATGGCTGTGATGAGCAGAGGCGCAGGGCCGGGCAGCTCCAGCTCCACCATCTGAGGGGTCCCACAGTAAAAAGGATGTATTCCCCTGGCAACCTCCAGAGGGGAGTCCTGACATTTGGGGGGTGTTCCAGGGAAGATGGAAGCAGAGCAAGACTGGGTCTACTGTTTCCACCCAGAGTTGACTACAGACAGCCTGAGGAACACTGAACTTGACTCTCTCCCTACAAGTGAAGCCTCCCTATCTTTGCTAAGCACACAGGGCACCATATAGGCCACCTTCTAATTCCATGCCCTTTCTCTACTGGTTCTGCTAGAAGCCCTTTACAGCCTTCCTCCAGGACACACCCAAGCAGAGCAGCTCTTCATCCAGCAAGGAGAGGGCATTGCTTGTGTTGTTGGGCCCTGGGGGGGCCTCCGCCTGGCTGGACGATCGGCTGCGCCCAGGTGCTGAGGCCTGGGGGGGTGGAGGGAGGATGGGGATGCCGGAGGAGGGTGGGGTGGGGGCCAAAACGGGGGTTGAGCTGCCCGGTGCATCCAACTCTGCAAGGTCGATGAGAGTGCCTTGGTTCCTGGAGTGGTGGTGTCCTGGAGGAATGAATGGAAGGGGACAGGAATCATTAGGGGCACTGGAGTGGCTATGCAGCCTCTAGCCTAACGCAAGGGCATTCATGCCAAGTAGAAAAGGGAAGGCAGGTGGAGAAAGCCCTGTCCAATCCCCTGCCCTCTGGGAAGCTGGAGAACCATTTAGAATCCCCTTGAGCCCTGTGGGCTGACACACTGGAGGTGGGGATGGTGGCTGGTCTGGAGGTTCCAGAATGAGGAACCGAAAACATTTTACCTTCAGAGTCAGACATGGTTGAGGTGGCCACCTCACCATTGATGACCTGCCCTTCAATGATTGTTTTGTATGAGTTGATGACTCGGGAGAGGTTGTCACTGGCCTGCAGGATGTCCCCTAGAATAGAAAAGAGAGTTCTCATCCCTGGCCCTGACAACTCCCCCTCCACACACAAATCCAATTCCTGGGCCGTACTTGTCAACTAGTCTTTCCACTCACCCAAACTATTGTCATTGTCCTCTGTCTCGCTGGCTAGTTTGAATAATGTCCGCCTCTTATTCTCACACCGATCAAACAGCTCCTGAAAGAGACCCAGACATAACCTTGGAGATCATCTACTTTAGCATTCATGCCCAGAAAATCAGGCTCTCCTGGCATCATGGTCAGTTACTGGTAGAGCTGGCTCAGAGCACAAGTCCTCTGCTGCCAGCCTGCACCACACTGACACCCAAATACCTGCTTAGGCAGAGAAGTCACCAGGACGGACAAGGGCAAGTACATCCCTGCCAGCATGTACTCAGAATTCACAGTATCTGTGGCCAAGAACTGAGGTGCCACATTAGGGCACACGGGGGCCTCTGCAGAAGGCAAGGCTGAGAACAGGTCTCAGTCAGAGCTGTGCACACGCAGCTCCTCTGCCCGGGGCAAGTTAGGGACCAGCAGATGTGCAGCAGCATCTTCAACAAAGCAGGCACCTGGCGAAGGCTGGCTCCCTGCCCAGAGCCCAGCTCTCCTCGTGGTGGGGAGCTACCTTCATGAGCTCTTTATCTGCCTCTGACGAATCCTCCTTGCTGTAATGAAGCAGCATCTCACTGAGCAGCTTCACGTTGTTATTAACCTCCTCTAAAGTGTGCAGACGCTTGGTCACCTTCTGGATCCGTGCCTCATCCTGCAAAGAGGATCAAGGAGAAAGCTTAACTAGATTTGTCCCACTGCCCCACAGAATCCCTCGAGGCATGGGTCACACCAGAGAACATGGTGCCTGGAAACCACGGGCCTCAGACCGTTAACAGGTTTTTGTTTTAAAAGTCCTGTCCCCATCCACCATTGCTCCTGTAGTCCATCCACGGCCTCTCCATGTGTGGGCTGGTGGCAGGGCCGAAGAGCAGGCCTGATGCTAAGGGAAAGGGCTTCTCTGCGTCATGGGCTCCACCATCCCACACCCAAGGCCCAGGGCCCACTCACTTCCTTCACCATGGACTTGATCAGCTTGTTGGCCTCTTGCAGGTCATCTGGGTTTTTGCTTTTCAACAACTTGGCTAAAAGCTGGACAAGAAGGGTATCACAGGTGAAGGCAAAGGCAGCGCTCCACCTGGGGAACTGGAGCTCCCCGCAGCGTGAGCGAGGCCACACCTCGCCTGAGGACTGCAGGCTGGATGCACTTTACCTTGGATTTCTCCTCATCATCAAACACAGGGTTTTTGGGACGAGGTGGTGGAGAGGGGATCAGTGTCCTGTCCACAGGGATCAGTGGGTCAGACTGCACTATGCCTGAAAGGTGACACAGGGCAGAGTGTTTGCTCACACAGCAAGGGGACACATCCCTGTGATCAGGACCTGTAGGGGCAGGACAAGCAGGCTACACACACCTCCCGTTCACCTCCAGCCAAGCCTGTCCCATTGTCCTCAGGAGGGAGGAAGGGACATAGCCTGGGGACAGCAGACACCCCCTCATTCTTCCTGGCCTTAGCCAGCCTTTGGGCTGCATGGAGGCTGAGGCGGGAGTAGGCACATACCCTGTCTCTTCAACATGTGGTAGGCATCTTTGATCTTTGATTCTTCTGGCAGGGCCAACGTCCAGCTATAAAGTAGCTCAATAACCTTGGTCTTCACTTTCTCAGACACCCTGTCCCCCAGGTACTAAGAGGCAAAAGGAAATTGGAAAACTGGTAATTGGAGTCTGGAGGCAGAAACAGTGGGAAGGCTCTCTTTACAGCAATGAGTGGTTGCTAAAAGTTGGAGCCCTCAGACCTATGGGAAACCAGCAGGGGTCAGGTGTGAGGCAGCAGGGGTGGGGAGGAGAGGACACTGCTTGGGGCGGAGCTGTATCCATTGTGGTTAGGCAAGGGGCCGGGAGCTTGGCCCTGAATTTCCATGCACAATCTGCCAGAAATAACTATGCTTTATCTCAAAGGAGCCAATGTCTTTAGCATAAGAACTGTTCCCTCTGCTGTAAGTGGGTATAAGCAACACGAGTGAGCAATAGAACCTGAGCAACTGAGTAAGGGAGGCCAGCTCCTTGTATCCACGTGAGATCGGCCACACACAACTGGCTTCTGTGCTAGGAGTCAAAGGCCTGTGCTATCCAGGCCCTCCCAATACACCGCTGCTGCTACGTCACTTGTATTTAGGCTGGGAGCCCGCCAGAGGTCTGCCTGTCCCTGTGGCCTGTGGTGTCATCCGCTACCCGCAGGGCCCAGCTCTCCAAAGACAGGAGGCGAAAAAATTCAAATCCATGGAGATGCTGGTTGTGCAGTAACAGCTAGTAGGTGGGAGAGGGGGAGAAACACAAAGGAAGTTCCTAGAAATGAGGAAACTGCACTGACTGACCTTTGGAGAGACGACTTTGATCAACTCATTCAAAAACCGGAACTTTCCCACTTCATTGTGAAATCTCCGCCCACAGTTCTTCATACACGCCTCCAGCACCTGTAGCCACACACAGGAGAGGCTCGGTGGGGGTGCCGCACGATGCTGCCATTTTTACAGATGAGGAAAAGGAGGCCCCGAGAAGGATTCTGACTCAAGGTCCAGGGTTCTTTCCACAAGCTGATGGACATTTTGGGGAGGTGGGAGATAAAGTTTTGTTTCTACATTTTAGATGACATATGTTCCTTCCCCCTGCTTCCATTTATTTCCTCTGGGGCCATACAACTCCCACAGGCTTCCCTCTGCCTCAGTTTATGCCAAGGAGCACGCCAGCCCAGGGGTCCCCTTCTCACTTCTGTCTTTGTGAGCAGGGGTTTCCAGCTGTGCAGTTACTGACATTTCTCTGTGGGAGCCTGCCCGGTGCTGCAGGGTGTTGGCAGCATCCCTGGCCTCTACCCACCTGATGCCAGTAGCATCTGTGATGTGAAACAACCCAAAGCGCCTCCATCTGTCACCGAATGTCCAAAACCACCCTGAGCACCACCCTCTGAAGGCCGCCGCCGCTCGACTTCGATCGCGACAGAGGCATGCGTGTGGGCTGCCTAAGCGCCCTTTTCACGGCCACTTCTCTTCCACTTCCTAGCACCTCAGTGAGGTCAGGCAGGACCCTGGGATGACTCCTCTGTTTGGGTGAGAGGATCCACGTCTTGAATCCTCTTAGTCTGAATAAACTCTAAGATTGCCCCTTGCTGTGATGCCTTCACTAGTAACGCATTGTTTTTTGCTCCGGAATGACTTATACTCACCTCCACTTTTCTTCAGTTGGCCAGCTCTGAACTGGCAGGACAGCTCTGTCAACATTTCTTCAAGAAGCCTTCTCTGAGCCCCACCCTCAGCTCAGGGCCCTGCCTCTGGCTCCCTCCCTCAGCCTCTGCTTCTCCCACTAGACCTCATGGTGGGGCAGCCATCTTTGAAGCCTCAGTGCCTGGCACAAGGGCGTACACATCTGTAAAACATCTAACATGCTCCAGAACAGGCCTGGGCTCACGAAGATCCACCCTCAGGATGAAAAACCTACCGTCAGGGCCTGGACCGCCTCCCATTCCTGTGGGGACTGGACCTTATGTGCCAGCAGTCGGACAGCGATCTGTGGCCTAGGAGATAAGCAACCACATTTTCAAGACACTGACCCTGAGGCCCTCTGGCTAGACCGCCTTGGCCTCAGTTTGGTACCTTCCCAGTCAACCTGTCCCCTCACAGCTCGGAGACTCACCCTTCCAGCTCCTTGTTGATCTGATCACAGAAGCCGATTATGTATTCCCAGTCCTCCTGGCGGTTGGAAGGATTGGTGGCCTTATCTTGGGACAGAACCAAGAAGAGGACAATGTTACAAAGAGCAAGGAGGACAGAGCAGAAGATTGTCCCCATGATTTTCAGGCCTGGATGTGAAGATAGGTTTTTTCCAAACTTCTTCTCTAACAAAAGCCTCAACAGCTCGGTCAGGCAGCGAGTCACATACAGCTCCACTTGCTGTCCATGTTGTGAAAGTCACAAAGGAGACAATTCTCAGCTCGTGGAGCTTAAGTAGACCGTGTTCGGCAGAATGAACACAAACAGGCCTGGCCCAGGTTGCTAAGTGGTTAAGTGCCGACCCATGTACCAAACAGTCATGGGTTTGATCCCCAGTTGGAGCACATACTGGAGGCAACTAACTGATCGATGTTTCTCTCTCCCTCCCTCTCTAGAACCAATGAAGGAAACATATCCTCCGGGGAGGATTTAAAAACAACACAAATAATTACAAACACACTCTCCCCCTTCCTCGCTCTCTAAAGTCAATAAAAACAAATCTTAAAAATAAATAAAATATTCAAGTAGATGCCTATATGAAATGTTTAATATAACAAAAAATATGGATAACTCCAGCTATGTAAAAATAAGCTAAGTGTTAAGCAAGTAGGGGTGATCAAGAAGTATTTCCTGGTATAGCATAGGAAATATAGTCAATAATAGACTAATACACCTGAAATCTGTATAATTTTGTTACTCAATGTCACCACAATAAATTCAATAAAAAGGAAAAAAGTTGGAAACACATACCTTTAATTTATCAATTAACTTAAAAATAATAGTGTAATAACTAGGTATGGTGCCAGGTGAGTACTGGAAATATTAGGGAAGAAACACTTTGTAAAGTATATGATTGTCTAACCACTGTGCAGTACACTTGAAACTAATACAAAATGATACTGAATGTAAACTATAATCGAAAAAAATTTTTAATAAAAAATTTGATAATTACAAAAGAAAAGAAGTGTTTCCTGGAAAAAGTAAAGAAGAGGATACTTGATAAAAAATGTACATCCCACATACCTTCAAAAACTTTTCAAGACCTAACCTATTTAATGCTTTAAATGTGTTTTAAATTGCACACAATGCTCATCATTTTAAGTTAAGCTAACAACATCTATTGAACCCCTACTGAGCACCATACCTTGTGCTATCTGTCCCTAGGGTCACAGAAACAGAATCTAAGCTTGAGCAGTGAGTACCCTCAGGTTTAATGGTCTTCCGTGATCAAGGACAAAGACAAATGTCGGAGCGTCCTCAGAGGGTCATTGGGAGTTTAAAGTCAGTGCTCAAAGCCAAGTCTCCTAATACTTGGTGTGGATCCTCTTTTCCCTGTAATCCCCGGAACCTGTGTTTGCAGAGAATGGCCCCAGCTGAGGGTGGTTAAATGTGTTCCCAGCTCTTGGTAATTATCAAGGTTTTCAGAAGGCACTTTCTCATTTGCTGTGGACAGAGCGTTTCCCCGCTAGGTTTTCTTTCTGCTACATTGCTAGCATTCAGACTACTGGGGACATTTATTTTTTTTTAAATGTGTTCCCATCTCTGAGTCAAATCTTGGAATTTGCTCTTCCAGAAAGAAGCTTTAAGCTGTTTGCTAAATTTAGGGCTTCAGGTTCAGAAGACAAATGGAAGGCTGATCCTTTAAACACGCAGGCTCCTGCTGATTCCCACCAGGGTCGCACAGAGCGACAGAGGCCAGGGGTATTGTTAGAAGTGCCTGAGTTCTGATTTCTTGGGTCTGTTTTCTTAACGTTAAAAACCACTAGCTCCACAGGCAAATCCTAACAGGGACGCCATGCCCCCACACGCCCTCCCTGGGCTGAGCCACAAGAGGTCAGCAGACGCGGCGCAGAGGCTGAGCGGAGGCCGCAGTGCCGGATGCTGCACCTGCCTGGCAGTGTCTCTGCTTTGGCTGCAAGAGGATTCGGATGGTTTAGGTTCATATTTGGAGGAAATGAGAGGTGTGTGTTCTCAATCTTGAAAAGAGAATCAGCAGGCCCTTCAAAATGTCAATCTGGAAGGAAAGAGGAACTAATTCTATCAAGAATGGCTATTAACTGCCATAGTGACCCACTGTCACCTTCCAGAGCAGCCCCGGACTTCCCACCGGTTATCTGAAACCATCTCAGGTGTTAGCGTGGCTTTGTTACTAATCCCTAACATCTGAGATGCTTACAGTTCTCACATGACATCAAGAGGCTGTAGAAGCCCTAACCGGTTTGGATCAGTGGATAGAGCGTTGGCCTGCGGACTGAAGGGTCCCAGGTTCAATTCTGGTCAAGGGCATGTACCTTGGTTGCGGGCACATTCCCAGTAGGGGGTGTGCAGGAGGCAGCTGGTCGATGTTTCTCTCTCATCGATGTTTCTAACTCTCTATCCCTCTCCCCTCCTCTCTGTAAAAAATCAATAAAATATATTTTTTTTAAAAAAAGAGGCTGTAGAAACACAAAATTAAGATGGCCTGAGGAGCCATCCCACCCATCACTATTATGTTGGGGACAGTCACATGCTTGTGTAAGAAAAAGCAGCCTATTCACTTCCACTGTTCACAACTGGAAACGTATCTTCCAGTACAGTCTGATGTGGTCCCCCCTTCTCTTCACCACACACACACACACACATGCACGCACACACGCACACGCAACAGGCATTCACCACAAGCGTATTTTTCCCAGACATGCTAGAATTTCTACAGCACTCCTGCTTCCAGGAATAGGGCCTGCTTGCTTTTCATTGTGTTCAACTCTAGAACCCCATTTCCTTTCATCTTGGTAGAACTTTCTACTGCAAACCTGCAGGGAGCGCTGTGCCTACACATGGGCACAAACAGCCCTGGTTTCAGCAATGGCCAATGCCACTGGGGAGAACCTCCGGGGCGCTCCAGCTCAGAAAGCAATCCTCCAGCAGCCACAGGACTGAACAAACCTCTGGGGGTCATTCTGGGAGAATGGATCGCTCCATCTGCCCACTGCCTCCCCAAGCAGGTGCACACAAGCTGCCACCCACTCAACATTCACCATCACCTGGCACACAGGTGACACCAGGGCTTCCCTGGCAGACCCTGCCTTCCAGAATTGCCCCTCTGGGCTCTACTCTGACTGGAGGTTTCTATATTCAGATCTTTACTGAAAGCCTTACTCTCGTCTGTGTCTGTGCCTCTAGTTCCCTCCTCTCATTTTCAGCTGAATTCCATCACTAGCCTTGACTGTCCTGGACCTCATAAGATCCAGCAGCATTGGCTACGCCATCCCATCCCAGCTCAGATGCTCCAGAGACAAGTCCTATGGAGCAAAAAACTCAAAAATAGGCAGAGGCAAGAACAAGGGGCGGAAAGAGAGTGAGTGTCAACCTTTAGTGCTAGGGTCTTGAATCAAGAGAAACGGAGTCAATCACCAAGTGTTTGTTGTTAGGCACCCAGAGGAAATCAAGCACACAGCACGCCAGGCTCCGCAGGGTCTTCGGAGAAAGTACCGGACTCAGATCCCACCCTGGACGCAGCAGGGGCTTCTGCAATAATTCTGGCAAAACATGGAGTGACAAGGCCCTAGAACAAGCATGTCAGACTCAAAAGCTACCACGGGCCAAATAAACGAGGCATGCGGCCTGCAGGGCCACGAGTTTGACATGCTTGCCCTAGAAGATGTGCTGGAGCCTGAGCACTGGTGCCTTCACTTGCTATAGTTTGTACCATTAACTCGTTTGACTTACGACAGGGTTACATCCAGACAAACTCTTTGTAAGTTGAAAATATCGAAAGTCAAAAATGCATTCAATCCTGCTGCAACACACGAGACATAACCAGAGCAAATAACAAGATAGTGTGTAATTATAACTGCTGCTTTGGTTCAGAAATGAGTCTAAAAGCAAAGTTATCACTTCTCCTTCTGACTTCCCTATTTCCATCAAACAGCTCCCTGCCCCGACTTCCAGGCACCCAGGTTTGAACTCCCATTGTTGACCTCTCTTCCCTCGCCTCTCCCATTCCTCATCCATTTCTCAGTCCATAGTCCCTTCCTTCTCAATGTCTTTTTAAATTTCTCCCCTAATTTCTTATCTCTGCCCCCACCCCACCTCCCTCACACCAGTTTCCAGAATGTCTGCTCCAATCCATCCTATATAAAACTCCAGTAGCAATTCTCCTAAAAACTGATTTCACAAGGTAGAGTAGGAGTCGGGGTCTGGTAAATGTAGAATGTAAACTTCCTGGGCTGGAATTCAAGCCTTTTCGAAGGTAACTTCCCAGCTTTCTCTCCCATCGCTCTCCCACAGCAACTCCCAGCGTGAACCAGCAAACACCGTGACTGTCCGCCCCGAACAATGGTTCATTCAGTCACCGGGGATAGTTCACACCTTTAAGTCTTAAGACTTACGATGGGGTTACATCCAGAGAAACTCTTCACAAGTTGAAAATACCCTAAGTCGAAAACGCATTTAACACCCATAACCTACCCAACATTACTGCTTAGCCTAGAACACAATATCCAAAAAGCACTGGCAACAGTACCGTATAGGTGTCCGTTGTTTACACTTGTGCTCAAGTGGCCGATGGGCGCTGCGCTTGCAGGCGCTGCCCAGCATCAGGAGGGAGCATCCTACCGCAAAACGCTAGCCTGGGAAAAGGCCACATTTCAAAATTTGAAGTACGGTTTCTACTGAATGCTTATTACTTTAGCACCATCGCAACGTCGAAAAACTGTGTCGAACGATGGTTAAGTCGAGGACATCTGTAGTCTCTGCAGATACCATCCCATTCCCCTCTGTCACCTCCATTCTCCCTCAAAAACAGGTCTGTCCCTCTCCTATTTCAAAACATAACTCTAAACCTATTAAACTAAGCGTAGGCCACTTAAACTACTCCAATGTCCCCATGAACACCTGGGCATCGAACCAAGTCCAGTGCGGTTAGGTTTTGATTGGGTGGCTCTGGGCAAGTGGTCTGACTGGAGTCGGGTGTCCCCTTTTTGTGCAGTTGTGACAATGTCTGCTTCACTAGGAAACTTGATAAAGGAATGTGCGTAGAGCACTTTGAGCCTCCGGGAGAACGGGTCCAGAGGCGTTGTGAGCTGCCTGCAACCCAAGGTTTTGCAAATGTAACCCTAGGTTCAACCACCTGAAGGCAGTTTCTTATTAAGAAAGGCCAGGCAATCGGAGGAAACAGCCACCACCTCCAAGGACGTGGAGGCTCAGAGATCTGTGCAGAGGGAATGTCTAGGCATCTCTCCGCGCCTTTCCACCACGTCCAGCTGGTCCCCTCTAGGAAGCCCCCAGGAGCCTGCGCCAGCCCACAGCAAAGTTAACCCCCTGCCCACTCAGCAGGGCGCCCCCGGCTCATAAGCTGAACTCGCGATGACAGCAAGAGGCCGCTGCGCTCAGCTGTTCCAGTGCGCGCGCGGGGCGGGGCAGAGCTCGGTGCTGGGGCTTTGGAATATCCGCACCTCAAACATTCCGCCTGCGCGAAGCGGCCACTTCTCGAACACACAGTCCCGGTTCTGCAGCTGTGCGTGTGCTCGGAGCACCCGCCGCTCCGGAGCTTCACCCCAAATGCGGAGCGCGTTCCTTTTGGCAGGGACTGAGCCGCCCGCAGCCCCTCCACCGCCTCCCCGCCAGCCGGCAGCACTT